AAATCCTTCCCCTTTTCCCTCCCCTGACACTCCCACCCAAACAGAGCTTGACACACCCACTTTCCTGACTTTTTCCAAACTAGGATGTTGTGAAAACATCCTGCTGAAAGGGGGGTTTCATGGCCCTTTAAAGCTAACCGTACACAAATTTGATATATTACATGTACTACAAATAAATAACAAAAATGTATTAATTACACTGATTTAAACATAGTTTTGTTAGTTGATTCAAAGTAATGTTAAGCCCATATTGAAGCCACCTGCACAGGCTTTTATAACAAGTAAGTTACTGCTTAACAAAGCTAAAAAAAAAACGATTTACATTTAGTCATTTAGCGGACGCATTTATCCAAAGCGACTTACAAATGAGGACAAGGAAGCAATTTACACAACTATAAGAGCAACAATGAATAAGTGCTATAGGCAAGTTTCAGGTATGTAAAGTGTAAGACGCAAAAAATATTATTTATTTATTTTGTAGTACAGTTAGCGGTGGAACCAGAGAGGGAATTGCAGATTAGGAAGGAAAGTGAAGACTAAATAGTTGAGTTCTTAGTTGTTTCTTGAAGGCAGCGAGTGACTCTGCCGTTCTGATACAGTTAGTGAGGTCATTCCACCAACTGGGCAGATTGAAAGCCAGAGTTCGGGAAAGTGATTTCTTCCCTCTTTGGGATGGAACCACGAGGCGTTATAAAGTTACACAACTTTATGAAATACATCAATTACATTTTGAACCTATCCAGTTAACAATTGTTTCCCGCAATCCTGGTTAAAACACACGGTTGGGTTCGCCGCTCATCACGGTAAATAAAATAAGATGGCATCCCCGAGATAAGTTTTAGCTGACTGAAGTGCGCACCAGGTAATATGTCCCGGATGTATATGTGTCGCACTACCAGTGTTAATGAGGTCAGGATTTCGATAACTACACCAGTTAGACAGAGGATACTCTTTACACCGTCAATGTTAATTCAGCACCATAAAACAACACTTCACTCTAAAACACTGTAACATCAGGATTTTAACTCTGGCAATTGTACTGTGATTTGGAATTTTACTGGAGTGAATGGGATCTTTCTGTACTTTATTTCTTCATTGTTGGATGACTTGCTTGATCCATCAGAATTGAAGGGTTCTGACCCATTCCCCTCTGGAGTCATTTTTATGTCTCGGTTTGACTTAAGTTTAAAGTTACTTTTGCAGTATTTTGCAAAACAGGTGGTGTTGACTTTTTGATCAGATGTGCTTTTGAACTGTCTAAACTGCTTCTCAAACTGTCTGTTTTTCACCAGCAGGTCCTATTGTGCTGGAAACTAGCCTTTTCCCACAATTTCAGTCCTCATAAAACATGTTTATGGCGTAATCGTTTTATTTTATATTGAAATAAGCCTTTATTTTAGGAAACTATTATATTTGGTTAAAAATAATATTTTTTCTTTATATGATATGATGGATAGCCATGGTGACAATTTTTAATTACAATAACTTCTGCTTAAAACATAGTTTTGCTTGTCACCTAGAGAGTTTTACACAATTATTAATGTTATTCTTAAAAACAAAACAAAAAAACATCATAGTATTGATCAGAGGTATTCTCTCACACTATTCTGTTCTGTTTTCTCTTCCATCTCTGTTTTTAGGCACTTTATGTTTTAGAGACACAAAATGTAATCATACGTTTTTAAGGAATATTCTTATTCAAAGGCTTCTTCCTAATCAGCTCAGACGTCATTTACCTTTAAAGATGTTAATTCACAGGAATTAGAAAAAAAAAGAATATATCAATTCTCCCCAAAATTAAAGAGCTTCAGTTTAAAATGATTAATGATGTGTATCCATCAAAAGAATTCCTGAGATTAAAATTTGATACTGAGAATAACTCTTGTCAATTTTGTAAAAGTGATATTGAAACCACTAAACATATTTTCTACAATTGCATATACTCAGTTATTTTGGGCTCATGTACATGACAGAATGTCTCATGTCAATATCCATGTTTTGCTTTAAACTAGTTATATTTGGTGTATCTAAAGAAAAATCTACATAGCATTACCTGCTTAACACCCTTTTATGTTTTGAAAAATTCTTCATTCTTAAATGTAGGTTTTTGAACCCCCTCTTCTAGTTTAAACGTTATTATTGAACTTGCTATTATGGCTTCATCACTTAGTACTTTGTCAAATGATAAAGCTACTAAAGTAGCTATTTTTTGTCAGCAAATTCTGTACCCTATAGCCCCTTCACAACCCTTTGAAGCTTTATATTGTGTGTGTGTGTGTGTGTGTGTATATATATATATATATATATATATATATATATATATATATATATATATATATATATATATAATACAATTGTCATTGCCATATGCTGCTTTTTCTATATGTCTGCCTATTGTTGTAATTGTATTACTTAATGCTTGTTTATGCATGTAAGGCCTACTGTCTTTGTACATTTATTTTGAACATTTAATAAAAAATATAATAACATAAAAATGAGATATAGTAATCCTAAACCTTATTCTTGAAAATGTTGGTGGTATAGAGTTGATTTTAAAGTGTGACTTTGAGATTAACATACTCATATTGGCCTGTCTACATACACACACCACTTACAGACAGTACACATTATAATCAGCGGACATGAGCAGTGCAATATGTTTTGCATATAAATAATAATTTAAATGAACAAAAAGCTGAAGGGCATCAGTAGTCTGTTGAGTTTTGGAATTGGCATGTAAGCTAACAAATCCCTCATGTTCTCATTCACAATAGCAACACTGGGTTTCCCATACACCAATTTATTTGTAGTAATGTGGGAGTTTTTACATGAACATATCTTTAAAGGTAACCAGTTGCGTACAGAAAGTTAAATTGTCTTCATAAAGAAAGCTTTTTCCTTTCTTAAATCAGTCCATCAAAATAAATGTTTAGGGTTTTGAAACCAAAGTCGTCATTTGTTACCCGAAACCACATAATAATCTGACACAAATCTGATCTGTTGCAACTGGCAAATGGCATTGTGTAGTCTGAACAGGGTTTTAGGGAGTCAGTCACTGTCATTGCCTTATGGCGAGTTCACACCACATAAGATAAGCCGGATTTTCATTCGCCAACAAATTTTGTAAATTGCAGACAAAAGTCCAAAACTGGAGGCAAATCTGTGTTTGTTCACGTGAATGACAAACAATGTGAATTATAAAAAAAAAACAATATGAATTATCAAAACAAAGGGTGCAGGACAGTTTCTCCTCTCTAATCTTTTTTAATTTTCTTTTTAGTGCCGACCATTTGATGGAAGTGTGCAATGTGCAAAAACATGGTTATTGGTTTATTATAAAGTTGAAACTCTTACAACCTGGTACTGCGCTGTGACCCATGATCTACACTACAAAATAATAATAATATTTCTTCACCCCTCCTCAGTTATTGAGTTTAAATCTTCAGGTGTTCAAAGGGTTTCATTCAGGGGCGTTGCTAGGCTCGAAAGGGAATAGGGGCTTAGCCCCAAAGACCCCCCCCCCCCCCCCCCACCAAAAAAAAAAGAAAAAAAAAACAGTTTCATAAGTTGATCTACTCTAATTTTAATAATAGGATTAGAGATGGTTTAATGATAAATAAATGGTTTTTGAGTTTACAGTCTATAACAATAAATTGTGAAGCTTTGTGACTTGTAACACCAAAAAGGAAAGAAATTGATAAATTACCCACTTCTTATTTACTATTCTGTTATGAGCCATATTATGCCCCTTGAGCCTCCTATCTCCTCTCCTGATTTGTAGTTTCTGTTTGTTTTTTGAAAATAAAAATTTCTGCATGTCTTCAAATCTGAAAATCTGATTTATTTTATAGACCAAGTTGTTATCCAATGTGATACAAAGCTACACACATGTTTATTTGGACAGAGTGATTAACTGAGGTGTAGTGTTGTCAAGATACTGGAATTTCTAAATTCAATAACCCGCAAAATATTGATATTTAATGGGCTTTTTTTTTTTTTAAACCATTGTACCAAAAATAGTAAAAAAAATAAATAAATAAAGATTTAAATGCTAGAAATGTGTTTACTTCAAATTTCTTTAGAGGGAGATTTTTAGTTTTCCTCAAAATAGGTTGATGTGGGCAGTGTAGCACTTTGAATGCATGCAATGCCTGTTTCATTCACACTTGAGCAGAAATTCCATATATGCCTCACAAAAGTTGTAGAATATTCCAGGAAATATTGCTGGAGTTGAATGAAAATAAGATCTGAATAAACATAAAAAAGGCTTAAACTGATCATTTACACAACTGTGACAATAAATGTAGATGAAGTCAGAATTATTTGCCCCCCTTTTAAATTTTTTTCCTATTTTAAATATTTTCAAAATGATGTATAACAGAGCAAGGACATTTTCACAGTATTTCTGATAATACTTTTTCTTCTGGAGAAAGTCTTATTTGTTTTATTTAGGCTAGAATAAAAGCAGTTTTACATTTTTTAAAAACCATTTAAGGGTCAAAATAATTAGCCCCTTTAAGCTATATTTTTTCCCGATAGTCAGCATAAACTATCGTTATACAATGACTTGCCAAATTACCCTAACCTGCCTTTAAATGTCACTTTAAGCTGTATAGAAGTTTCTTTAAAAATGTCTAGTCAAGTACTTTCTGTCATCATGGCAAAGAGAAAATAAATCAGTTATTAGAGATGAGCTAATAAAACTATTATGTTTAGAAATGTGTTAAAAAAATAAACAGGGGGGCCCGGGGGCATTAGGTATTTTCATAAGAAAGAAAGATTTATAATCCGCTGCTAAATGACAAAGCATGTTACTGTAGAATATAGCCATAAAATAATAAGCTAGATACATGAACTCACTGTGATTTAACTATTACAGAAACAGATGTGACTGGCTATATCATATCTAGATAAAGATGTCTATATATATATATATATATATATATATATATATATATATATATATATATATATATATATATCGTATCTAGAAAGCAAGTACAATTTACATTTTTCTTACTAATTTGCATGTATTTACATTAATGTGCAGCACATTATATTGATTACCTACAGTTATGTTATTTCACCAAAACTACACACATTTTCTGCTGTAAAAACAAATATTAAGCTTCATCTGTAACTTAGCTAGAACTATTCAGTTTTGCGAAACAGTTGTATTATTACCTCATCAGCTTCAGCTGCTCAAAATAATAAATGATGTGCAGTGGCGGAATATTTTTAAACCATGTGACAACAGAGCCACTCCCACCTGCCGGTAGAAACAGGTACTGCTGAATAAATTACTTTTTAAATACCCGACACAAACGCTGCTTTAGGTAGAATACGCGTGATATACACGTGTTAATTGTCAGAACTTTGTTAACAAAATAAATGTTATACAACCTATTTTTATTTAAGTGCAACATATTCCAAAAGATCAGGGGCTTTTGACAATACATCAGGGGCTTAAGCCCCCAAAGCCCCCCCCTCGCAACGCCCCTGGTTTCATTTCCAGTAACTTGATATGTTTTCAAGTGCCCTAAGCTCCGCTGGGCAAAGCCTCAATTTTGAGGACTCTACTCCCCATTGTGAAGTTTCATGTGAGTGTTGAGGCTTCTTTTACATTTAAAGCCCTTTCCACATTCACTGCATCTAAAACGATCCTCTCGTGAGTGAATTTTCATGTGTTTCCTAATGGTGTCTTTGCGTGTGAAAGTCTTTCCACACTGATCACATGTGAACACTATGGTTCCAATGTGACCATTCATGTGGTTCTTGAGGCTAGCTTTGGTTGTGAAGCTCTTTCCACACTGAGCACATGTAAACGGCTTCTCTCCGGTGTGACTTATCATGTGGTGTTTGAGTGAAGTTTTACATCTGAAACTTTTACCACACTCTGTGCAAAAGTAAGGTTTCTCTCCATTGTGAATCATTATGTGGATCTCAAGGTCTTGCTTTTGAGCAAAACCTTTCCCACACTGTGTGCAAGTAAAAATTATGCCTCCAGTGTGAGTTCTTATGTGGTCTTCAAGGGTGCTATTTTGCTTAAAACTCTTTCCACACTGATTGCAAGAGTAAGGCTTCTCCCCAGTGTGAATTCTCATGTGCGCTGCCAAGTTTGCTGACTGATAGAGGCTTTTTCCACACTGTAGGCATGTGTACAGCCTCCCTCCAGTGTGAATTCTCATGTGCTGTGCAAAGTTTCCTGTAGTATAGAAGCGTTGTCCACACTGTTGGCATGTGTAGCGCCTCTCTCCAGTGTGAGTTCTCATGTGGACTTTAAGGTAGCCATTTTGCTTAAAACTCTTTCCACACTGAGGGCAAGGGTAAGGCTTCTCCCCAGTGTGAATTCTCATGTGGACTTGAAGGTTGTGTTTTCGACTGAAACATTTTCCACACTGACGACATTTGGATTTCCGAGGTCTTTCGCATGATGAAGTCTTTTCGGTCAGTGTGTGTTTTTCATCAGTTTTTATTTCTTGGTGTTTCTCAAACTGTTTCTCTTCCATTTCATTCCATTGGTGAGTCTCTTCTTTCAGCACCATCAGGTCTTAAAAAAAAAAAGAAAAAAAGTGAACATTAGTATGAAGGCACAAAGCAACAAGGATAAAATGGATGTTTCACCCAACAATGAAAATGACCTTACCATTTACTCTCCGTCATGTGGTTTTAAACATTTCCTTTCTTCTGGAACGTGAAGAAAGCCTCCGTTTTTATTTTATTTTAAATATCTTCTTTTGTGTTCAACAGGATCAAAAAAATAATAATACTCATAAAGGTTTAAAACCACACAAGGGAGAGTGTGATGAGGCATAATGGAATACAGGTCACAAAGAATATAGCAAAGCACTTATGTGCAAAATTGACAGTATTCCAATCCTCTTTACGGTCCATACAAAAATGATCATAAATTTGTACAAATGAAATCCATAAAAAAATAAAGATGTCAGTAAAATAAACAAAAATCAAAACAAACAAACAAGAAAATAAATATATACATGTAGAAATGACCGCTCTTTGCTGTTCAACCTTCAACAAAAAGGTACGGTAGACTAGCATTATTTGCCTTCCACTGCAAAAGACTAACTAAAAGACTCCACTAAATTCCCTTGGGTGAGTATTAAAATATTGCACTTGTATAGATGATCACATACATAGCATTCAGTTAATCTCTAGTATCATAACAGGTGTATTGAACAATAATAATACATCATATTGATCAATACATCTGTCAGTTCATGTATTTTCCTATTACTCTGGTTTTGTATTCCCAGCTCTCCCCCAAAACAGGCAACGTTAAGACAGTCCAGTTATCGGAGTGATCGCGCATGTGCGGTGCGGAAGTTATCAAACTTTCTAGATAAGTAGCGTTATCAATCTTTCTAACCAGCTACAGGAGCTGCCCATTGCTTCCAGTAACCTGGACTGCAAAAGTTCAATAAAAATGTATGTGTAACTATTTGGTGTTTGTGTGTGTATATTGGCAATATAAACAGATGTGGTGACAAGTGAATGTATAGTGTGCATTATAAATGCAAAGATAATATTATCCCAACCTTTGTGTGCATCCAAGGGTTGAGAATGGCAGAATTACTGATGGTTATTAGACTGTGTGTAAATGAAATGATGTACTGTTGCGATCGTAAGAAAAATGAGTAAATGGTGAGGAAATTTTCATTTTTAGGTGAACTATCCCTTTTAAGCAAAGGTCTCAAACTCCATTCCTGGATGGCTGCAGCTCTGCACAGTTTTGCTTTAACCCTAATCAAACACAGCTGATCCAACCAAGGTCTTTAGGACTACTAGAGACGATTTCAGACATCCAAAGTCTCTCGGAACTTCCGGGAGTCTCCCGCAAATGCATAATGACACCCGGATGCCCACAAATGAATGATAATCTCCCGGAAATTGTCAGGCTGAATAATTCAACTGACTTATTGACTTGTCTTCGTTAGTTTCAAAAACACAGATTTCTTTACAATGTAAAACAGCATCTTTGGATATCTTTTCTGCTGGAGATACTGTTGTCCTGAAAAACTTAAAACATAATAAAAAAACCTTAAATATACTGTAGGAACGGTACAGTAAAACATTTTGGCGGTTTTAAAACCTTGACTTTTTCAAACTGCGGTATACCTTGAAAGTGGTTATTGTCCCATTCCTAAGCAGCATAACACTGTTTTTTGGATCTAAAAATTAATTCTTTAAAAAAGTCTCAAGCAAAAAGATTCCAATGGCGGCGCCTGCTGGTACGTGAAGAATATGGTCAATACTGACAAACTTTACACTCAAATGTTAGCATATCATCAGCATGCTGTAATCCATTTCTTGAGCAGCAACAGTTATTTTTAGACTAGTTTGTTGGCCAGTTGTAGTCAGTGCAATGCTAATCGTAATTGTTCCACTATAATTTGTTTGTTTTGTCTCACGTTGTCCCACAACATCATATAGTTTAGAATACTGTACAATGTTTTATAAAAATTTATTATTTTATTATTTTTTTATTATTTTATTATTAATATTTATTTTATTTAAAATATTTTTATTTGCCCTAATAATAATAATTGAATAATAATAAATTAAAATATTTTAGATATTTCTTAGCAAAATATTTAAAATATTGCATACAAGCAAATAAGCAAGCTTTACTTGTATCCATATACTTTTTTTCCAACAAAAACTTTGAAAAAGATAAAAAAAAAAAAAAAACAAATGTTTTAAATGTTTAAAAAACTACAATAAACTAAATCTATGCACAACAATCTGTCCAGGTCGATGTCCTCAGCAGTAAATACATGGAGCACGTTTAAACAAATGTTATTGTAAGAAAAAATAATTAAACCATTATGATAAATAGAGTTAAAATGACCTTTTTGAATAAAAAGTTTAAAGTTTTATTGAGATGGATTGTTGCTGATTGTATGAGTTTTGGCCAGATTGGGTAACAAAACATGAACAAAGAAACATGACTTGTTTAAAAAAGAATTAAGACCTACAACAGTAAATTTAAGACTTTTTTAGGCCTAAAATTTTAATTTTGGAATTTAAGACATTTTATGAACCGTGGAAACCCTGTTAAAACACCATAGCCCTGGTAATTAGTTATTATAATAATGATGTAATTCTAACTCAGATACTATCTGTGAGAACTAAAAACAACTACTAAAAACAAGTTTAATTCCATAAAGAAGTTAATTACAAAAAGGGGAATTGTGATCAACGTGACATATGCAAATGGAAAGTACTAAGCCAACACTATCACTGTAATACCAGATATCTTCTATGAGAATACTGTAGATCAAATATTGTCAGCATTATTTTTGTTGTTTTATTCATTTAATATAGCCCCAGTGCTTAAGAACTCATTACAAACAGTGGGAAAACAAGAAAAGCAATAACCTTAAGAAGATAATGACAAAATAAATGAGAACAAGTAACGAAAGAAACTCATTCCTGTCTTTCAATGAGTGCTTATGTGTATTTAGGAGAACTACAAGGCAGCACACTCAGGGCAGCAAGATGGATTTAATTTAGTATTCTTATTATTAAAATATATTAGTATGAAAACCAACCTGTTTGTTCCTGCAGATCTTCATGTTTTACTGTGAATGTTTCTTCAATCTTCACATCCTTACTTTCCTCTTTAATAAACGCCATCTTTATAACAGTGTGGAGATCAGTCACTTCAGCAGGAGTTTTTCTCTGTGAACACTTTATCCTGTTTAAAATGAACAAAACAATTAATAAAAACAAAATAACTTCTCTTCAACGCTTGCTTCAACAGTTTATGAGAGTAATTAACAAAAAGAAATCAGGTAACGTCAAAACGTTTCTTTAAAATACTTATTACGTTAAACAATTTTCTTTTACTTTATTCAAACAATAGCCCTCGGTTACTGAGAATAAAATTGTACTATGTTGTATTAAGGATTAAATAATATTTCAGGAACATAATTTAGCATCGTATAAAAAGCCTAAAACTTTAGAACTTTAACTTTAAATCAGTTTATATCTGTAACCGTTTTAAAACAAACCTTGCTCCAGTTGAATCACAACGCTGAAGCGGCGCCGCTTGATGACGTCACACGCCACGCCAAAATAAAAGTCTTTTTTTGTTAAGTTTTTTGCAACTTACTGTTGCAGTCATGACTTATTCGTTTCTCCCATTTTTTTTTACTTTACACTATATATGCTCTCTCTCTCTCTCTCTCTCTCTCTCACACAAACCTTTAATCTAAACATTTTAAGAAACTTTTTAAATCCACTTTATGAAGACTTGTATGTCTACAACACATTACTTCATTAATATCTGAGTCCAAATCTTACCCGCTTAATTATGACCTCTTTTTCTATTTCTACAACTTCATAGGCCTATGTAGTTTCCTTTTTTCATATGAATTGTCGTCTCTTATTATCTGTGTTCCACGTTTCCTGCCATTCTTTAGCAATATCTTCAGTAAAATATTTATTTACCTTTACTTACAGAAGCATTAAAGGGGTAGTTCACATAAAAATTACAATTCTGTGATTTACTCATCCTCTACTAGAGCCAAACCTGTTTGAGTTTCTTCTGCTGAATGCAAATGAAGAGAATAAAGGAGCAAAAACAGCCATTATATGGTTCAACAGTTCCTACTTTGGACATGGCTGCTTTTTTCAACATTTTCTTGCACACAAAATGTTCTTGGAACTTGATTACAATTGAACCACTAAGGTCACGTCACATGTTTTGACAATGTTTTTGGTTCCTTTTCTGGACTTTGAGCATCTCTTGACTCTTGCTGACAGATGAAGGAGCTCTCTGATTTTATCTAAAGCGTCTTCATTTGCGTTCTGAATATGAGCAAAGTTCTCAGGAGATTAAACAACAGGTAGAGGGACAATCGTTCTCAAGTGCTTAGTGTACACCTTAACTCATGCCTCCCATCAGTGCTGATATACAGCCTACAGCCACATTGCACTGCTTTTTAAAAAATGAATTTATTCATTTTTTACTGCAATAACAACAGGCCATTACAACAAATAAAAACTGATAGAAGGCTACATAACTGGGAAACATGCATACACACTTATTCACACACACACTGCATGCATACCACATGTCTATGGACTTTGGGGAAACCAGAGCATCTGGAGGAAACTCACACAAACACAGGAAGAACATGCAAACTCCACACAGAAATGCCAAATGACCCAGCTGAGGCTCGAACCAGTGACCTTCTTGCAATGAGGCGATCGTGCTACCCACTGCACCACTGAACTCACATGTGTAATTATCTGAGGTATTAAACTGGTATTGGTGAAGAACTATGCTTACAAATGATTGTTATTTTTAAAACGTGTAAAAAGGCACCATTCAGATGTAGCGATCTGGGGAATCAAGCATGTAATGTTATAGACACCTATACTTATTTGTCTTAAGAGATGTAAGGCACATCCCTCAAAATGCCAAGTACACATCCAAAACAATCCAGAATGAAGTGATTGAAATTTTGGCATCCATGGTTCTGAAAAAAAATAAAACAGCAATATGACACTGCTGATTCATCTGCATTCTGTTTAATAAGTGATGGAACAAGGGATAGGTGCAATATTGAAAATCTCTCCATTGCAATTCGATTTGTGTGCAATGGTGTGCCAGAGGAACATCTCATTGGGGTAATTGGGCAGGGGTTGCAAAAAATGAATTCTAGAATGAAATTCTTGTTGCCAGACCAATGCTCTCCAGGATGCTCCCAGCTGATGCTGACTCCTCTGCTGTTTGCAAACTTTTGCAGGAATACCAAGATGCATTTGCAAGTCTTCGTAAATTGTTTGTATCTGCAGTGGTCATAGGTGCCTATACTGACTCATGTGAGAGCTCATTCTCTACACTGGCAAGAGTTCTGACAGCATTTCACCAAACAATGCTTTGTGAGAGGAAAAAAAACTTGTACTTTTGGCCAATGAAAGAGACGGTGCTCACTGCAGAGCCATTTGAGCAGAGCTGAGCTCCAGCGAGGGGGAGCATGAGCTCTCGCTCCTCCTCCTATAAGCTGTTTTAATGCGTACACCAACCCCACCCCTAACCCTACCCCCAGTGACATCACTCATAGAAGAAGTGCAAGAAAGGAGGAGCTCAAGCTCAAGCTCCCTCTTGCTGGAGCTCAGCTCTGCTCAAATGGCTCTGCAGTGAGCACCACTTGTAATGAAAAGGCAATAACAAACAAACTGGACATGGATGAGTTTGTGACAGAATTCTCTAAAACGAGACAAAACCTAATGCTGTATTAAACAGATAAATAGGCAAAATTGAGTCTCATGGGGTTAAAAAAAGATTGTAAATATATGTTCTTTAAAAATCAAATAAAGTTACAAAAAGTTTATCTATAGATATAGGTTGAGAGAACAAACAAGAAAAAAGTTTTGCAAGTCAGTAAAAAAAAAATAGTGATGTAAATAGTTATTTTAAAAATCAAATACAGTTACTAAATTGAAGGTCTGTTATAAGTAAAAAAAAATTTTTTATAAAATTTAAAAATAACCTATGGAAATAAAAATAACCTATGGAATTAGTTTAAAAAATAGTGATGTAAATAGTTATTTTATAAATAACTTTATTAAGTTTATTTTATTTGCAGATGACACAAGCATTTTTTGTTCTGGGCATAATTTACCAAAACTTATAGAGTTGATTAAAACGTTGTTTGACGTTGATTAAAACGTTGATTAAAACGTTGCTTGACGTAAACAAATTGTCATTAAATATAAGTAAAAGAAAGGTTATGTTATTTGGCAAATTAAAAAAATAGTTATAATATAGATTTACAAATTGATAATGAAGTTATAGAAGGAGTGTATGCAATTAAGTTTCTTGGTGTTGTATTGGATCATAAAATTAGTTGGAAACCACAAATAAATAATGTGATATCAAAGTTAGAAAAAACTGTAGCAATAGTGTATGAAGCGAGATTTATCCTGGACAATAAATCTATGTACATATTATATAACACACTTATGTTGCCATACATGAGCTATTGTGTTGAAATTTGGGGAAATACATATAAATCTAATTTACGATCCATATGTACAATGCAGAAAAAAGTAATTCGACTAATAGAACATGTTGGGTATTTAGAGCATACAAATCCTTTATTTTTTAAAATAAAGATACTTAAGTTCAGTGATTTGGTTAAGTTTAAAACAGCACACGTTATGTTTAAAGCTAGGAATAAACTACTTCCGAAATGTATACAAAAGTTTTTTGAAGAATGACAAGGGAGATATAACCTGAGAGAAGAACTCAATTTTAGGAGGTTGAAAACAAGAACAACTTTAAAAAGTTTGTGTATGTCTGTACATGGTTTAAAACTATGGAACCGTCTAGATCAGACTCTAAAACAACGTCAGGATATTAATCAATTTTAAAAAACTGTATAAATATATGTTAATAAAGAAATATAATGATGAAGGTTATTGAAAAATGATAAAAAGAGAAAGGTATGATGAAATTTTAATGGCTATTTGCAGTACTAGGTTTTTTTTTTTTTTGGGTCTTATGTTACAAAATGAAAAGGTACAAATGGAATCAAACATATTATTTTTCAAAGATGCCAAAAGGATCAAATTTGTTTCATGTAAAAACTAGAGATAGGTAAAAGAATAAAGTTTAAATAATAAACGAATGATGTATGGGGTATGGGGTGGGAGAATAATAAGCTTATGCTTCATCCCGCTCCATTTTCGACCATGTTGAAATGTATTTCTTTTTGTTAATGACATTTTATGTATCATAATTTTGTTCGAAAATAAATAAATCAAATCAAAATCAAATTCCAAAGTTTATGTATAGGTAAAAAAAAAGAGTTGGTTTTAAAAAATAGTGATGTAAATAGTTATTTTTAAAATCAAATACAGTTACTAAATTGATTTAAGGTCTGTTATAACTAAGAATTTATTAATAAAAAATAAAAATAACCTTTGTAATTAGTTTTTTTTTTAGAAAGTAGTGATGTAAATAGTTATTTTAAAAATCAAATAAAGTAAAGTTGACCTATAAGATCTGTTATATAGGCAAACAGAAATACAAGAAATAATAAGCAAAATACATACACAGATACTTACATAAGTAAAAAAGGATCTAGAAACTAAAATGTAGTCCATGATGGACTTGTCATTTCTTTGCAGACATGTAGATATACTGTCTCAGGCAATCACGGTGAATTCACTCACCCCTTTGTTTTTCTTGTCCCCTCTTCCCTTTAAAAAATTAATTCATAATCTAAGAATTTTTTTAAAAGTCAAAATTTTATTCAACATTTTAATTATTAAAATGTTCTCTGAGAAGAGTCTACGTCCTTGAACATTTATTATACGGTGTCTGTCGCCATCTTTTGGAGGAATAATGTAACGTCAACTGCCAGTCAATGCACAATTTGAAAATCGAAGGAGCCTACCGGTTTAATATTAAATAATAAAATAAAATTTACTTCAAATGACATTTTTTTAAATAACCTTTAACAAATAACAATATAAACATGCTATGTAAATCCGTCAAAAGAACAATAACCAGGTTTTCATATAGGCCTATTCAATTTATCTAACATTAGAGATGTAAAACTTAAATTTGCACTCAAATCTGTTTGATTTATAGCAATTAACAGATGATTATGAACAAATATTGTCGTTATATATAATCAAAACAATTCTTTTCCCACATTTTACTACTATAAA